GTGCCTTCGGGAAGAATGTTAAAGTGGGAGTCATTCTAATCTCTGGGGGAATGATTTCCAGAGAGAGGGGGCCACCACAGAAAAGACCCTTCTTCTGGGTCCCAACAGGTGTATCTTCCTAGGGGATAGGAACTGTAACATCCCTTGTTTGCCCGCTCTGGTGGGTCGAGGTCTGTACAAAGCCACGAAGGCTGCTGCATTTTGCTTCAACTGGAGTTTCCAGATGCTTTTTAAGGGCCATCCCATGTAGAGTGTTGCAATAGTCAAGACAGGAAGTGACTAGGGCATGAATGACCATGAGCAGGGATTGTTGGTCCAGGATTAGTTCTTTCTTATACTAGAAAGAACTCAGAAAGAGAAAATCTAGAAATAATGATAGTAGTATTATCATAAGGTGATGCTTTGCTCTAATGACAATATGTGAAGGGATATCTGTGTCCCTGTATCCATAACCTCTGCTATTTAGCATAAGTATCTAGTGCACATGGAACCAAAAAGATCCTCTGTGCATACCACTTCATATATACATAACATACATGCAGAAACTTAACCTTATGCAAATGCTGAATTTACACAGAATAAGATATTTTTAATTGGCAATTAATATGTGGAATCTCCAAGCAGTATTATGTGGTTTTCTTTTAGAGACTTGCTTTGTACTGTACTATGCTGAAGACTCGTTATTTGAATTCAGTAGTATTGTGAGCTATATAATAATGAAATGAAACTCAGAATTCAATTTTGCTCATGGAAAAAATTCCAACTTTTTGGGAAAACATAATTCATCCAACATGCCACAGGAAAGATTCTGTAAGGACTGCCTCTCCTCCTTACTTAAGAAAGTGAAGACTCTTGAAATGAAGGATTTCAAAAGAAAGTTTTTATTAAGCAGAAGTGAAAGCATACCATTCAAAGCAACATCTGACTAGTCTTAGGCAGAGTTAAAACAGTAGAGACCCCTCCCTTTAGTCAGATGTTGATTCATCCAATCAACAGGTGTGAGGATGTTATTATCCCAATCGCTCTAAGAAACCAGATAAGCTTACATTCCCACGGCCATCTTCTGCTGGCTATTAAAGTGAAACAATCCACATGGTGCCCGGATATAGGTTATAAAAATACTAGTTGTCACAGGCAATATTAATGAATCGAATCCAAGGGCACCCCCCCCCCCTTCTCCCAATTGAATAGCAGTATCACTTTCAGGGATCTGACATGCTGCCTTCCTTAGAAAAAAGAGAGATCCACCTGAAAAAAAGATAGAAAACAAATTCATTATAGAATGTTGGCAAGGTTTAGTAGGATATTGGGAATGAATTTTTTTCAGTAATGTGCGGGCCTTGCCATTAAGCACAGTCTTTGGCTAGCTGGAACATACAACTTTCCTCCCATCCAAACTAAGTTGTCTTTTATCAAACAGCTGGATTTGTGGCTCAAAAACCATTCATCAGTGGCCAATGCTTGTTTAAAAGTTTGAGTGGTGTCATTGTCTGTCAACATTTCCTGTTTTGCCAGTTTATTGTTTTGTACTATGGGCTTGATTACATCCAGCTTTGCACTATTGTATTGCGGTTTTCTGGATAGTACATCTTCCAGTAAATTTTTCCCTCCAGGGAGATTGAGAGTAAAATCAAATTGTTTAAAGTACTGAGACCATTGTTTTGGGGAGAGTTTTCTTGGGTCTTGAGGGCTTCTAGATTTTTGTGATCAGTCCAGACTTCAAAAGGATTTTACTCCCCTCTAGGAACTGCCTCCAGGTTAAAAGCACCCACCAAACTGCATAAGCCTCTTTCTCCCAAATGGCCCACCTTTGCTCAGTCTCATTCAACTTTTTGGATCTGTAAGTGCATGATTGTAGTTGGTCTTGCTCATTTTTCTGAAGCAGGACCACCCCTACTGCCACATCACTGGCATCTGCTTGCATGATGAATGGTTTCTCTGAGTCCAGGTGCTTTAGAATTGGGTCTGCTGAGAACAACCATTTAAGTTTTTCAAATGCAGCTTGGCATTCCATTGTCCAGTTCAAAGGCTGTTTTGGTTTGGATTGCCCTCCCCCTCATTTTTAAGAGGTTGGTAATGGGGAGGGCAATATGAGCAAAAGTGGGGATAAACTGGCAGTAAAAGTTGGTGGATCCCAGGAAGCTTTGTAATTGCTTACATATGCGGGGTGGTTCATCCTCTGGATTGCTCTTGAATGAGTTTGGTTCCTCCTGCTGAGATGCTGGAATTTTCTCTTCAAAGAGGGGACGGAATGGAGCCTCTATAGTCTCCCTGCTCCTCAGGGCAGTCTCCCTCCCACGTTGGCCAATTTTCACAGGTTTCCCCCAAGATGGGTGTTCTGGTTTCTGTGTAGGTGCTTAAGAACAACATTCCGTAGTTCAGTGTCCCTCCTTTCCACACTTGAAGGAGTCTTTGGAGAAAAAGTGGTTTGTGGTTTGAAGGGTTCTCGTTTCCATTGGGGCTCATCCTGCTCAGTACTGGTTTCTGGCCATATCAATCTCAGCTTCTTCGGCGGAGAGATACCACTCATGTAGGTTGTTCGGTGCCCCTTGGGCCATGTAGGCATTGTAGAGGTCATCACTCAGCCCATCTTTGAAACAGCTTACCAGAATATCCTCTGGCCAGTTCACACAGCATACAAGTTCTCAGAATTCTTCAGTATACTCTGCTACTGGCTGGCTTGCATACTTCACGACTTTAATGGGGTCGCACGCTTTGGGGTCTAGGGTGTCCTCAAATTGCCATCTCAGAGACATCGTGAAATGGTCAAAGTTCCACAGTTCTGGTGCATCGGCATTATTTAGGGTTACCATCCATCTGGCAGTGCCTCCCTGCAGGGCTAGGGTAACAACTTGCACTCAGGATCCTTGGATCTGGAAATCACGCCTGTATTCCTGCATGTACATGCACATGTGTGCCACAAAAAAATCCCAATTGTTGAGGATCCCCATCAAATTTCACCCCAAGAGGAGGAGTTTTTCTTTCCAGTTGCGGGGTTTGGAGTTGATCAAGAATGGCCCCAGGGAAGGGTTTGCTGGGTCCCAGCTGCCGCTGCTGGGCCCCCTGCTTGATCAGTGGGTCCAGGAGGGGGGTGGCTCCACTGGCATCATCTCTGGCTGCTGCCATTTCAGCACCCCTTTGCTGCTGTTCTGGCTCCCCTCGGATGTTGAGATTTTACAAATTCTACATCACCAACTAGGTTATATGTCTCTTCAGATGATCCTCTCTCAGTGGTGCTTTGAGTAATTCCTCCTGATTGGAGAGGGCTTCTAGCTCCAATTTCCACCCCGGCTTTTGGTTACCATGGGTGAGGGTGACTCCTCTGGTTCTCCTATCCCAGCTGTCTTTCTTCCCAATGCCAATTGACCAGCGAGGCTTTCTGGGGTCCTCCATGGTCACCTCATCCTCTCTGACGAGGTACAGGAAACAGGCATTCAGCTGAGTGGTGGTTGATGTCTCCCCCCAGCATTTGGCTTCTCCCTGCTCACTGTTTTGTTCAAGCATGGTTTGCAGGGTCCCCTCAGCATAGCGAAAAATTGCTTCCTTGGGTTGACCATTTTGCAGACATTGCTTTCTGTAAGGACTGCCTCTCCTTCTTACTTAAGAACGTGAAGTCTCTTGAAACAAAGGATTTCAGAAGGAAGCTTTTATTAAGCAGAAGTGGAAGCATGCCATTCAAAGCAATGCCTGACTAGTCTTAGGCAGAAAAGTAGAGTTAAAGCAGCAAAGACCCCTCCCTTCAGCTTAACACCAGGTAGCATTTGAATGAAAAGAGATAATGGTAGCATTGTTTTACAAATGCTAATTTTACATAAACTAGAAAGAATAATATATTTATTAATAATATAGCATTAGAAATAAATGGTGAATCAATTAAGAAAATGGTATACATGTATCCAAGTTACATAGGTAATGATTAGTAAAAATTTGGGCTTATGAAATAACTCAGGACTGTAACTGCTCAAATGTCAGGGTACCAGTGATGATATGCTACCAGTTTGGCCACACTGGTAGTAAAAAAAAGCCTTTGACAATCAGCTGAGAGGAGAAAGAAGAGAAAAGCACAGGATCAGCCCACCCACCTGCCCCTGTGCTTTTCTCTTCTTTATCCTCTCAGCTGATTGGTGCTGTAGGCCTCAGCTGGTGTATGGAAAGCTACATGCACGCATTAGGTGTGTGCACGTGACCACCAAACCGGTAGTGGAACAGATGAGATCCCACTGCTGCAAGGTAGCCACATTCTCCTGAAGATTCTATGCAGCAATTTTAAACTTCTTCCAGATTATCTGAGGAGGGGTCTTCTTGGCCTTTACAGGATTTTCTCGGTCTTTTGATCGTCAAAACAATCACATTAAACTGTCAGGGAAACAGAACTGGATTGACCTTTCAAGGCTCTCTTCCACATAATTTAATAAAAGAAATTAAGAAAATCTCATTAAATGGTTGTTGTTTTCTTTGAAGCTGAGTTTACTTCATATGTTTTCATCACCTTGTTTTATGCTTGGAAATAACTGACTTTGGGCTAAATTATTTAGAGTTTTCACCCTCTTTGCTCATGTTTTTAAGGTAACTTTGGTACTAGGTTGGCCAGGATTTTTCATCTTTTGTGAATTTGACAGAAACAGAGTTTCCCTTATTTTCTACCACATAATTGCTCCCCTTGGACTGTCCCTGTAGATTTTCCTACATGCCATGTTTGTTTGTTTGCTTATTAAATTTATTTGCCACTCATCTCATTTTGAAGTGACTCTGGGTGTCTTACAATATTGAAAGCATTAAAATAATAAAAAAAAAATATTTCTAACAAAATAAAAATGGAGATTATAATGAAAAATTTATGGAAAAGTTTGTGAAAAATAAGTTAATTTATACTCTTTAAAAAATTGAGTTCCTTGAGTCAGCTTTATTGAAGCTGAAGCAAATCATAACATACTTTGTTTGCTTAACTCAGTCTGTTTAAATCAGCTCTAAAGACTTTCATAGTATTTTTGGCTTATTTTAATATGAAGTTTCATTTTTAAATCAGATTTGGCAAGAAAAAAGAGGATAAAGGTGTAAAAAGTGATCAGAAGGGGAACTCCAAACAAGTCACACTGAAAGAAGTTGACCTAGAAAAGAGGAAGGAGGAACGGGAAAGGTGAGCTCTCTCTGTGTGTGTGTATGTGTTGTTGTTGTTGTTGTTGTTGTTGTTGTTAATTGCTGGTCTTCAATGGAAAGAAAAGCTGAGCGCTGGCCAGCAAAGGTTGGGGAAGGTACTCAAGAATGTCTATCATTCTTCATGGAAAAATTATTACAAAACAGCATCTATGTGTAAAAATTGTCAGTGTGTATTGGGTAAATTGAATTTTAACATGTAGGTGAGTATTACTTTCACTTTTAAAAACTGAATGTAGAAGAAATTGTTTACTTAAGACTACATTGGAAAAGTCATGTAGAAAAAGCCACAAATACCAGGGTAAGTTGCACACAGAATCATATATTGAGAAACCGTACATTGAAAAAATAATATGTAATGATTGCATATTCTATGTCAATACATATGTGAAGAAATTAAATAATATATAAATCCCTCTGGCTGTGATACAGGCCACATTTCCAATGATCTCTTGTGCCCTGAACTTGGTTTAGTTGGAAACACAAAAAAAGCCTGACATCACTTGCTAAATTCAGCACTTTGTTTTTTATTATAATTATTTATAAAATGTTTATAAAAATATACATAATGTTACACAAATGATAAAATTAGTTTTAAAGTTTATCGAACCATACCAATAATTGTTTTCATATGAATCTCCATCTCCAATATCTTTTATAGCAAAAATGGTGGTTGGTTGATATGCTTAGGCAGCACTTGCATTGATGACACTGAAATTTCTATCACCGGCAATTGTAAAGTACACGTCTTTCATTTTTATGGAAGCTCATGTTCATTGTTGGGATCCTGGCAAACTAAGAGCATGCATCCCATCTGTTAAAGGGCCACTGCCATTTGTTAAAATGTTGGCAGACTTCTGGGAATGATCCCGTCTGTTTCTAGGTTAATGTTCCAATTGGACAGACGTGGAGTAATTGTTGTTAATATTTCTTGTAGTGGTAAAATCTCTTTCAAAATAGAATATATTCCCTGTAGTGACAGTTAATTAGTAAGAACCTATTAAAAACACTCGGGTCCATGCCTTTATAATTCTGGTTTATCTTGTCTAATAATTATTCACCTTTTGACCTGGAATCATTTGAGACAGAAATGGGGAACAGCAGGTGTGCTTAGAAGCTGATGAACCTATATGATATTTTTAACTCACATATTTGATTTTTATCCTACAATTAAACAAGAAAAGAAATACCATTTTTCCTTGGATAGTTTTCTATCATTAATTCTCCTCTAGAGAAAAAAAAATGTACATGAATCCCAAAGGAGGGCTTAATCTATGCCATATAGTCAAGGAGATTATTCCTATTTTCTCTGTCATTTTTATGTAACATATTAATGTGTTATCTTTCTGAAGACAGTGCTGGTCAATGTTGCCTAGAAGAAGGCTTTTGTTTTAACAAGCATGTCACACAAGTAAGTTTTAACCTTTGGATGTAGCTGGTAATATAAATATAGCTCCACTCTTTTACTAATATTTTATTGAGTGAGATGACTCCCCAGGAAAGGCAGCAAAAATGCATACCTTATCATTCAAGATCACACTAGTAGACTGTTTAGTGTCCCATTCTTAAAGCCTTCCTACTTCAGCCGTGCACATCATAAATTAATTCCTATAGTTTACTATAAGGATAGGATGATTGGTGCCTCCAGATGTTTTGACTATTACTTTCACAACACCTTGTTTTGGCCATGCTGGCTAAAAGTAGAAATATCTGAAGGGTACAAGGCAGTGATGGAATTTAAATTTTTTTACTACCGGTTCTGTGGGCGTGGCTTGGTGGGTTGGCATGGGAAGGATACTGTAAAATCTCCAGTCGGAGATGGTAGTTGCTGGTTCTCCGAACTACTCAAAATTTCCACTACCGGTTGTCCAGAACTGGTCAGAACCTGCTGAATACCACCTCTGCCATGAATGGCAGATTGAAGTCCCCCAGAACCATAAATGTGGAGAACACCAAAGACCATAAGCCTGGAAAACATCACTACCAACCTGGCCAGATTTAGCAGCTCTGGCAGTTGTTGGTCTGCAGCAGGAAAACTGGTACACCTGCAACAGTCCATTCTGATCCCTGCAGCCCAGCTTCACAAATAAAGCCTCACACCTAGCAATCTTTGGAGCAATTCTCCTGAAAACCAGTAGATTTATCATGCTTTATGTCTACTCTACTGGTAGTTTCCCATCACTTGGTGTTCAGCTTTTAATGGCTTGCTCCAAAATGGCTACAAGTCTCTAAAGACATTAATGCTGTGGAACATGTGTCTTTAGCATGTTTGAGGTAATTAATTTGCACTAACATGATGCTTCAGTTACCAAACTATGAATATCGATGCGGGAGGTAGCTCAAAAGCTTAGTGTAATGAGTGATACTGGCAAAAAGAAATAATGTATTGCCAAGGTCTTAAAAACATAGTAGCTGATTTATGAACAATAAAAAGCTAGCTTTCCTATGACATACTAGTGTAAAAAAATGCTAAAATACCATCTAAGTCAGTGGTCCCCAAACTTTTTCGGTCCACTGCCCCCTTGGTGCTATAAACTCATCCTCAGTACCCCCCACCCAGGGGTGGGATTCAAATTTCTATGGGTGTGGCCTAATTTGAGGGTGTGGTTTGCTGGTCACATGACTGGATGGGCGTGGCTTGCTGGTCATGTGATTGGGTGGGCATGGCCAGGTGACTAGCAAACCAAATACAAGTGGTCCTCACTTAATGACCGGTTGTTTAGCAAGTATTCTAATTTATGACTGGCCTCCCCAGAGCTACTTGACCAGTTTTTGGAGTTTTGACAGCTTTAGATCAGGGGTCTAAATCCCACCCCTGCCTGTGTTTGTGAGAGAGGAAGAGAGAGAGGTTGGATCAGATCTCTCTCTCTCTCCCACCAATGCCAGAAAGCCACCGTCAGTCAAAATTATGAGTTTGGTGGTCCCTGAAGTCCAAAAGTTTGGCGACCCCTGATCCAAAGGGATGAGCCTGAGAGAGGGAAAGAGAGAAAAGAAAGAGAGAGAGAAAATAAATAGAAAGGGGAAAGAAAGAAAAAGGGACAAAGAAAGAGGAGGGGATGCAAGGAAGGGACAGAAAGAAAAAGAAATAAAGAAGGAGGGAGCGAGGGAGGAGAAAGATAATGAGATATCTATTCTAGTCCAATCACCTGCTCCAGCAGGGTTAGAAGGGAGTGTGTTTGTGTGTGTTCTCCTTGTAATTTACCAGTACATTTTGGTTTTGCCTTCTTCAGAATTGGCACTGTAATACATTTGGGCAAAGTAATTTTTAAGGTGGAGATCTGGTCCAATGGATCCTGTTTAAAGCCTCAACGAAATGTGAGAGCTTCCTGATAGTCTTGACCATGTTTCGTCCACAAAACCTTTAATAGAAGCCAAAGAGGTTTCAATGTGCTGGTAAAGATGTTTCAATGTGGAAAAGGGCCTCAGTATAAACTAGGCCTCATTCAATCTGATGCATCAGGTCTCTCTCTTTCTCTCTCTCCCTCTCTCTCAGACTGGCTTTGCTCTACTTTCCCGATGTGCCTGCGGGGCCGGCGCTTTGAACATGGATGGAGAGAGAGAGAGAGAGAGAGAGAGAGAGAGAGAACAGACAGGCAGGCAGGCAGGTAGGTAGGCAGGAAGGCAGGAAGGCAGGCAGGCAAACAGACAGAACTTTTGGATGGATGGATGGATGGACAGACAGACAGAATGCGACAGTGGCGGCACTTTGGGAAAGCGGTGGCAGCGGCCTTTCCCAACGCGCTGCCACATTTGAGGCACTGGTTCTGGAGCATTACTACAGTCAATGAGTGAAACTGCAGGGCCGACCGGCGCCTCGAACGCCCCCCTGCTGCCTCTCAGTGTCCCCAAGGGGGCCGGCAGAGGGGGGCTAAGAGGTGGCAGGGGGGCGTTCGAGGCGCCGGCCCTGCAGGTTCACCCATTGACTAGCACCGCTCCGGAGCCGGCGCCTCCAATGAGGAAGCGGTGGCACATTACTTGCCGCCAAGGCCGTGTTCGACACGCCGCCCCCTGCTGCCTCTTAGCACCCTTCTGCTGGCCCCCTTGGAAATGCTAAGAGGTGGCAGGGGGGCGTTCAAGGCGCTGGCCCTGCAGGTTCACTCATTGACTGTATCACCGCTCCGGAGCCAGAGCCTCAATGGGTGAACCTGCAGGGCTGGCTGGCTGGCACCTCGAAAGCCCCCCTGCCGCCTCTTAGCGCCCCGCTGCTGGCCCCCTTGGGGAGACTAAGAGGTGGCAGGGGGACAGTGCATTGAACGCTGCCACGGCGGCACATAATGTGCTGCATTGGAGGCGCCGGCTCCGGAGCGGTGCTGCAGTCAATAGGTGAACCTGCAGGACTGGTGCCTTGAATGCCCCCCTGCCACCTCTTAACGCCCCCCTAAGGCATCCCACCGCCCCTCTTAGAACCACTGATCTAAGTTATGAAGATGAGTGATACTTTAATGCTTTCTATTGCTATTCTGTTAACATAATGAGAGTTTACTCAGAGAGAAAGGCTGAATTTTATAACTCTGCCCTAAAATTCACTAATCCTATAATGTGTAAAGTAGTTCAGGCCTGAGATTTTAATGGATGTAGTGGCAACAACTATCATGCAGTGAGCTTCTGCTGTGGATCTTGCTGCCACTATGACTTCATAAGCTGCATATTTTATCTTACCTTCTGAACAGGCCAACCCTCAAGAAATGATTTACAAGAATATAGGCTCTGCACACTTAGTTGCACATTCCTCATTAGGTGAGATTAATTTATTGTAAACCTTAACCATTGCAGTGTCTAGAGATAGCAGAAAAATGATATTATGAGCCTGAGCCATTCATCTGGGTTTTATAGATTTTAACTGCTTTCCTAATTACTGATATTGGTAAAAGTTTGTTAGCCATCTACTATGAATTTTCCGTATCTGCTAACATGATAGTTTGGTGCTGTTGCTATGTTTATATGGTGGAGAAGTAGAAAAATATTTTTCCTTCTCTTGGCACT